CCCTTTCCTGCCCCAAAGAGTGCTGGTGTCTTCCGATGTGGTAGACGGAGGTGGACGGACGCTCTTAGCTAGGCAAACGCAGAGGAAGTGCCAGGCTCAGCAGGCCGGACTTGGAATCGTTCAGAACTCCCACCCAAAAGATGGAGTGTGTGAAACCCGAGCGGCAGAGAGTGAAAATACAAACCACGCCAGGGGTGGGCGCGTGGGAGTCAGCCTGCGAGAGACAGTCTGGTTTACATTCGCGTCACGGCCACCGTCTCGTCACACCGGGGCGGGCTGTTTGCCTTTGTCTGTTTCGTGTTGGAGTTCCAGCATCGCCACACGCTGGTCCTGGGCAACTAGTCGGCCTCTGTCTGTGCCTGATTTCCCTCGTCTGTCAACGGGGGGCAGGAATAGTGTCACCTGAAAGGGCATGGGAGAGATTTGAGTGAGATCATGCAGGTGAAGAGGTTAGCTGGGGGCAGGTGGTGGCACAGCTGGACTCACAGGAGGAAGGTCCTGGGTTCGTACCTGCATCCTCCGAGCACACCGGGTACACACGTGTGTGCCCATGATCCGGGCTGGTTGGGCGTGGCTTGTGGTGTAGAAACCCTGTTGAAAGTTCCTCTCTCTGCCATAAAGAAATTAACTTTTGGGACCAGCAGGTGGCATGGTGGATAAGGCGCAGGACACTCCCACATGGCCAACCGGGGTTCGAGTCCTGAATCTGGTGGCTAAAATTAACTATAAAAAAAAAAAAAATATATATATATATATATATACATGAAGAGTGCGGTACAAGAGTGTTCATTGCAACATTTTTAATAATAGTAAAACCTGGAAACAACCCAAGCAACCCAAACCAGGGGAGATGGTTCCATGACAGCACACCCACAGAGCGAGGTATCGTGCGGCTTGATAAGACTACAGACACCCCTCCGCCCACAGGGGGCCCGTCCTGTAACTGTGTAGGTCTGTGTCAAAGCAGGCATACAAAGTGACTGGAAGGAGGGGACTAGATGGTGGCATGGCAGTAACACGGCATTCTCCAAGGCCGATCCCATCGGAAGGCTCTGGGTTCAAGTCTGGAGACCTCCCGAACACACTGGGCACCTCCATGCCCATGACCTGGGACCAACGGAAGCTGGGGATGGAGCGTGACATCAGAACCCAGTTGAAAGTGCTGTCTCTGTCTCTCTCTATCTCTGTCTGCCATTCTGTCTCTCTCTCATGGGAAAAAGATAAACATGGGGGGAAAAAAGTAAGACTGGAGAGACCAAAATAGCAGTAGTGCTCACCCTGGATGGGGGGATTCTGGGTAAGTTTGGCTAACTCTGTATGTTTCCAGATTTTCCAATTTTCTAAGACAAATGACTTGTTTTATGTTTCAAAATGAGAGGCAGTGTTTGTTTCATGAGCATGCCACTCATCAAGGTTGATGAGAAACCCAACATCTTGGGACCAACAGTTAGCGTAATGGCTATGTTGCTGGACTCCTATGTAGTCGATCACAGTTCAAGTCCTGGACCTGGTGGCTTAAAGATCCCGAGAGGAGAATGAAGGAGAAGGGACTGTGACGTGGCCATCTCCCCAGGGGGTTGATTTCTCACTTTCTGTCTCTCTCTGTCTTTCTGGCGAGCGTATGCACCTTGTAGCAAAAACCTCTCCAAAAAAAAAAAAAAAGAAAGAAACCTGCCATCTTTCAGGTGTGTGGAGGCCGCTTGCTCTCCCTAGCACTGCTCAATACCCTAAGAGGTCCCATACACCACAGAATATTCAGGAAAGAGCCTCGTGTTGCCTCAGTACAGCATCAAGATGGGTCTCCACCAGGTGCTGCCCCGGGAGTGCCTAGGCCAGGAACACCAGTCTCTGTGGAATCTGAAAACTGAACCTCTAGACGCTTCCCAGGTTTATCAAAAGCCCCGGATCTTGCAGTGAGAGCAAAGTAGATTTGGATCCAGACCGTCCCTGCATCGTGTGTTCTCACCCAGGACAGGAGGAAACCGGACGACAGGCCTCTGTGGGAAGATGCTCCAGGGACTGCAGAGTTGGCCGCGGTCCCTGAAAGGGCAGACGCAATCGTACAGCAGTCCCAGGGAGGCAAGGGTGGGTCTGTGGAGCCCCTGCATCTGCGCAGGAGCTGGAGGAACAGCAAAGCCTGGCGTGGGAGGGAACAAACGTGGTGGGGTTGAGGCATGCTGGGAGGATTGGACCCGCTGGTCTGAAAAGGTGGAGGCAAAGACGGTGACCAAAGGAGCACCATGGAGAGCTGGAGTCTGTGGGCCTGGCCACGTCGCCCTAACATGCCAGTGGCTCCCCAAGGCCATGCGAGTCTGGGCCCAGGGTTTCAGGAGAGAAAGGGGACAGAAGATGTCGGCCCTTCCTGCCTTCCTGAGTCTGTACCTGCCAGGGTAAGTATGCCATGTTGGTGGTGGACCCTTGACCTTGAGACCCCCAGCCCAAGGACACGCAAAGGATTTGTTCTCCAGGTCAAGGGAAACTTCAAAAAGCACTTATCAGAACATACCAGAAAGAGAACTTTTTTTTAAAGATATTTTTGCCACAGGGCACATGCGCTCACCAGAGAGAGAGAGAGAGACAATGAGAAGGAAAGTGAGAAATCACTCCCCTGGGGGAGGGCCACGCCGCCATTCCTCTATTCTCCTCTCAGAATTTGGGCACATGTGCACATGCCTGGCATGATTTTCATTTTTTTTAGAGAGATTTTTGCTATAGGTCATGTATGCTCCCCAGAGAGACAGAGAGAAACAGAGACAGAAAGTGAGAGATCATCCCTGGGGAGAGAAGCTGGGGATGGCCACCCCACAATCCCTTCTCTTCCATTCTCCTCTGAGGATTTTGGCCACGCATGCACACGTGCCTGGTGTGAGTTTCAAGCTGCTGGGTCTGGAACTCAAACCACGGCCAGCCACATGGAGTCCAGTTACATAACCACTGCACCATCTGCTGGGCCCATCCCAGCACGATTTTCAAGCTGCCAGGCCCAGGACCCAAACCCTGGTCAGCCATGTGGGAGTCCAGCACTTTAACCACTGCGCCACCTGCCAGCCCCCCGCCAGATAAAGAACTTCAGGCTCAACTATGGTGGCAGGGCTGCTAAGATGCTGTGCTCCTAAGACTGGGAACACTTGGGGCCCTGGTTTGATCATGTGCCTATAGTCCCAGCAACTTGGGGAGCCCGAGGGAAGAGGACTGTAAGCCCAAGGCTGGCCTGGGCCACACAGCGAGACCCTGTCTGAAACAGCTTGGCGCAGTGTCACACCCCTCTAGGCCCAGCTGGGAGGCTGAGGCAGGAGGATCTGACAACCTAGCATTAAAAAAAAAAAAAAAAAAAAGGAGAACTTTCATTTGTCTTCCTGGGTGACCTCCTTGTGCCCTGGCAGTCTCCCACAAGCCCCCCATGCTCTCACTGAGCCCCTTAAACATGTGGCTGTCCTGCTTCACCTGCACTCGAGTCAGGAACTAGAAGTCCTTTATCACTTCTGCGCTGTAAGACCGAAAATTAAAGCCTCATATCACAGGCTGCCTTGACATCCGGGAAAACTGAGAGGGCCTCAGACGGCCTACACACAAGCTCCCCTCCCGCGTCTACTCCCCTGGACAAGACCTTCCCAAACAGTCCTCCTTACCAGGGGGCCAGACCCAGCTCCCGCTGTCCCCGAGGAGCAGGTTTCAGTTCCCTGCTGGCCGGCGGAATTACATGGCCCACTCCACCATGTCCTCCTGGGGGCCGGGGCACCTCACCCTTTCAGTACTACAAAGCCAGCTTCCCACAGTCCCTCGTGACCCACACACATGGTTCCCGCATGGCCCTGAGAGGCTGGCCTCCACCGGGCCATCAGCATATGCGACTGACAAACTGCTGCCACTCTGCAGTGTCAGGCATCTCGGGAACCCTGGAGACTGCGCCATCCCTCACTCAAGGAGGGACAAAGAGGTGGTTTCAACGTTGGGTGTCCTCAGCGGGAGGCCTGGAGTGTGGGCAGAGGCAGAGCCATAAGGAGGCAGCAAGGTGTGGCCCCAGTGGAGGTGTCCTGAGGGCTCTGTCCCTAAGAAAGGTCCTGCCAGCAGGGTTGCCCCAGCCCAAGAGGTCTGCACCGCTTCCCTGTATTAGGCCTCTGCTGGATTAAAAACCAAAGAGATGCCAAGATCGGGCTATAAATCCTGTGGCACATTTTAAAGGCTTACGTTTAACAAATTACTGCTTTTAACATTAAAACCTCACTTGGAATAATTCCCGAAGTCTGAATGTAAAGAGGCAATTGTGAATGTGCGGCTCAGGCCAAGCGGCTCCCTGCCCCTGGCTTGAGGCTAAGCCTGTGTCCTGGGGGACCACTGGGCCAGGCCACAGTCTGCTCCAAGGACCGGGGCCAGGCTCCTCTCCCCTGCTCCCGCCTGCCCCCTTTCCCTCCCCTCCTCTCTCTCCATCTCCTGCCCTGTCTCCTCCTCCTCCGACTACCTGTCCCCTCTCCCCTGGCTCTCCTCCAATGCCTCTCCCCCATGGCCTTCTCCCTCAGACCTGAGCTCTGAAAGCTTGGGGACACCTTGTAGCCCCAGTGGGCCTGCGTGTTCCCTGTTGCCTAATGCTCTTCCTTCCACATGTGATTTGCTGAGTTGTGGCTCATTCTGAGGGCACCAACCTTCCAGCTCTGTGGCGGGGAATGCTTGGTGACAGTGATGCCAGTCAGCAGCACCTGGCCTCCCCTGCAGGCACAGGGCTGGAGCCTGCGCTTTGCCTGTGGCCGCATCTCCATGCCTCCTGACACACCCTGGAGCCTGGAGCTTCCCCTCCTGAAGCCTGAACAGACAGGAGGCCTCGCCCCCCTCCAGACTGCCCTGTACCCACAGGGCAATTGATGGCTCATCCCCGTCTGCTGCCATCACCTCCAGCCTGACCAAGGACCGCAGCCAGAGCCCCCGCTGTGCGTGCTCAGGACGTCCTCGTGCCAGGTCTCAGCAACCCTTCCGTTCCCTTCAGCTGGACTCAGAGGCAAAGGTTGCCAGATGTTTCCGGGGAAGTGGAGGGAGGTCTTGGCTGTAGGGGCAGGGGTGCTTCTGGTTCTAGAGATGTGTGGAGTCTGTTGGATACACCCCTTCATTCATCCCATGCTCAGTGCACACCCACTGTGTGCCCAGGGAGTGAGAGAGGCAGGGGCATGATGGCCGTGGCTCAGACCCTCACCCTTCCCTGGACTCGCCATCTCCACCTTCACACCCAGGGCAGTACTCACAAATGTGCCAAGGGGCAACTTAGCTATACTTAAGGTTTGTCAACACAGCTATTCATAGGATGCTGCTTCTCAGGCACTGCACTGGAAGTTCACGGGAGTTGTCAGGGAAGGGCACAGTGGAGGGCCAGGCCCAGGCTGCAGAGGCAGAGAGGGCCCTATGTGATCACCAAGGTGGCCGTGGCCCAAGGACACACGCCTGCGGTCCTGCTGAGAGAGGCTGGCCTTCCCTGCACAGCTGTCTGCCTTGGCACCTCTCCTTCCTCGACTGTTCAGGTCGCACCATCCTCCACGCAGGGCTCTGGGGGCCCCCTTCTCCTGAGCCTCCTCTGGGTTTTTCCTCTCCCCAACGTTATTACAGTGCTGCAGCTGACCCGGGATA